TTCCATAGCATTGAGCCATGGCAGTTAAAAGTGGTGTCAAACCGGGTTTATTTCTGCAGTGCGGATACAGCCTTGCATACGCTGAACGATACACAGCAGGACGAGGGAGCCTCGTTACCTGGGAGAGGCCGCTTTCGTACGCCATTGCCTCGCCTCTGATCCAAAATGGCCGCCACCGAGAACCTGCCCTATCTCTCCTTATAATATGGCTAAAAGAAGGCCAACGGCAGTCTAGGTTGCCCTCAACAAAGATGGCGACATTAGATTGAGAGCAGCGAGGTAGGCAGGAAAGGAGAGTTTCCGCCAGGAGTTGGGTCCTAGTTGCTGCGTATAGTAAAACTTCCCTCATGCATCAGCCACATTGCAGAAATAATCCAATTTGACACCATTTTAATTACCCTGGATCAATGTTATAGAATTTTGGGAACTGTAGCTTTGTGAGACATTTAGCCTTCTCTGACAGAGAGCTCTGGTGCCACAACAAACTACAATTCCCAGGATTCCATAATTGGTAATTGAAGTGGTGTGAAACTGGATTATTTCCACAGTGCAGATGCAGCCTCAGTTATATGTACAAGTTGGAGGAGAGGGGAAACCACAAAGGGACTTCCAAATTTTCCCTTCAAATTGAATCACTAATAGTAAACTGCCTTAGTTACGAATCCCCTCCCAAAAGAAAAACTGATAGAAATAATGCAGTTTGACACCACTTTAAGTGCTGTAGCACCATCCTATGGAGTCCTGGGATTTGTAATTCTACAAGGTCTTTTGGTCCTCACAAACTACAAACCCCAGGGCTCTGTGGGATGGGAGCCATGGCAGTTAAAGTGGTGTCAAACTGTGTTATGTCTACAGTGTAGATCAGGGGTAGGCAACCTTTTTGAGCCGGGGGCCGGGTTGCTGTCCCTCAGACAATTGGGGGGCCGAAGCACCATAAATAAATAAATAAATAAATATTAAAAAAAAAATAAAATTAAAAAATATATATGCATGCACACTCTCTCAGCCCCAGAAAAGCCATGCCAAAACCCCTGTGGAGATTTTGCCAAGAAACTCCCAAGAACAAGTAATAACAACAATAATCAATATCATCATGGCGGGCGGCGGCGGCAGCGGCTGGACTGGCCTGGGGCCGGTCCAAAGGCCTCAGGGGGCCGCATCCGGCCCCCGGGCCTTAGGTTGCCTACCCCTGTGTAGATGCACCCAAAATTGATGAAGGTGAACCTTGTTCTAATCTAGAAAGGCAGGAGGAATTTATTGAGGCCATACTGAGATTTCAGGCCTTTAAGTGTCCAGTTTGGGTGCAGCCTGCCTGTGTTTAGGATTACAACTCCCATCACTCTCCACATTGTAGTAGTTTGGGATGATGGGAGTTGCAGGCCAACACATCTAGAAGGAAACAATCTGGGGAAGGAAAGTCACAAGTCACACCTTTAAGAGATTCACCATCTTTTGGAAATTCAAACAGTGGAGAAGGTGTCTTTGGGCCTTTGCAGACTGCCAGAAATAGTGCACATTAACTTGAGGCACTGCCCTGGCTCAGTGCTAGGGAATCATGGGAACTGTAATTTATTGTGGCACCAGAGCTCTCTGACATAGAAGGCTCAATGTCTCAGAAAAAAAGACAATTCCCATGATTCCCTAGCACTGAGCCAGGGCAGTGCCTCAATTTAAAGTGCACTATTTCTGGCAGTCTGCAAAGGCCCTTTGTTAAGGAGATCCAAAACACACTGCAGAAATAATCTAGTTCGAGACCACTTTAACTGCTCTGGCTCAGTGCTAGGGAACCCTGGGAATTGTAGTTTATTGTGGCACCAGCACTCCCTGATAGAGAAGGATTCCAAAAACTACAACTCCCAGAATTCCATAGCATTGCGCAAGGCAAATTAAAGCAGCCGCAAACTGGATTATTTCTGCAGTGTGTTTTGGACCAGAGCTTCTCATTTACTTTTGTCTCCAGAGCCTCTTCCAAAATTTCTGCAGAATATTAAACACTCTAAGCTTGGTTTGCGGTTTTGGAAAAGACGTGAGAGTCTAATAAACCTCTTTCCAGGCTTTTGAGTGGCAAAAACAATTATAGATTGTTTGTAATTTCTTTGGAGCTTAGTGGTGGTGATATTATTATATTTTGGAAAAGCTTCTCTTAAGAAGTTCAATGATTCTTGAAGAATGGAGTGATTTTAATTCAGCCTTCCATATTCTGAAGTGCCTAACAATCCTTCCTCAAATTTATACTAGAAATTGTGCATCATTATATTTTTATAAACACACATGGTATAAAGTACAAGGTACATTGCTTTTTACTGCTTTATATTACGTTTCTGTTATGTGCCTTCAAGTTAAATCTTGCTTATGGCAAGCTTTGGTGGCCTTATTCAGAGGTGATTTGTCAT